GGGGGGAGGGCGCGGAGGAAAAAGGAAGGAGGAAAAAAAGATTCGCGCGCACGCGGAGGGAAAGAGCCGGCGAGCGCGAACGGCGGTGCTCCTCAGACAGAGACACGTAGCCCCGAGCTATGTAATTCATTACTAAAGCAATCTCACCCTGGCACCCTCTCTAGCCTGCACCCTGCCGGCAGCCCTGCCTCCGCCCCTGACCCATCAGAGCCGCCCGAGAGAGCCCGCACGTTATAATATAAAAAAAGGAAGATGGGCGGCGGCGGCGGCGGCGGCGGCGCGGGGTGGTGGTAGCGAGAGGGTGAGTGCGCAGGGGCGAGGGGCGAGGAGGCGCGAGGGGGGCCAACGGCAAACGGCGGGGGCGAGGGTGGAGGAGAGGGTAGGAGCGCCCGATTAGAATAGCGCCCCCTGACAACAAAACAAAATGAAACACAAAGCAGTGTTTTCATAATTAAAAAGATTGCGCGCGCTTCTTTCTTCCTACCGTTTCTATTCATGCCTCTTTCCATTTTTCCTCTTTCTCTCTCTGGCCTTCTTTCCCCGTCTCTGTCTCTCGGTTCCCCGTTCTGTTCTCCGCGATTTCTCCCTGTCCCTCTCGCTCCTTGCCATTCTCTCCTCTCGGACGGAGACAGTACACCCCAGACAGAGAGGGCAGAATTCAATAACCGTATTAATACGCGTCGTCTTTGGAAGCGGGCAGATGTATTAAAACATTTTAATCAACTCTCGCGTGGGCGCGAGGTCGGATCTGAGATCGCGAGTGATGTTCCGGATCTAGCGTCTGGTCCAAGACATACGAGAGCAAGTATTTTCGATCGAGCGAGCTCCGCTTTCGTTCCGATCGCGGATCTGCGGTGTTCGCAGCTCGCAAAGCTCGATGGAGAAGTGAGCTGCGCTATACGATTACGCGTTGTAATGCGAAAAGCTTCAAATGGAGAGAATTTGAATTATTCCGCCAGGGTACGGGGACCGAGACCGTACCGGATAATCGAGTAGACGAATAATTGAATATGTATATTAAAAAATTACTATAAATACAATAGATCGGGTCAACTTGTTTATTTTATTACGTAACACATGACCTAACTTATCGTAATGAAAGTTTTCCAGGAGAAAATGGAAAAAATCTCATTAATCTCATTATTAAGAAATCTCACTATATAAAATCATCACATCTTCAGAGATTTGACACTTTTTTTTAATTTCATCAACTTTTCTTCTTTATCTATTGTGAGTTTAATGAAATATAGGTCTTAATTAAAAATAGATCTTAATAGATACACGGAAAGAATGCTGTTGAATTAAAAAAAAAGTGAAGTTGCTTGAATTACACGTTAACGTCACGGGCTGCCACAAACCTAAGTAATTCACTCAGTTGTATTTGCTATGGATTTCAATTTTAAGAACTAAATATCCAGATCAAGACAACTATCTGATGTTTTTCACTCATTAATGGCAATGTTGTTTCGACGATTTTGTTTCAATTACACTGATCTTGTTGATAGAACATCATTTTTTTTCCGTGTGCAACCTCGAATGTTCAAGAAAAGTGTCGGATCTCTGAAGAGCTGATGATTTTAGAATTGGATCTCTTGAGATATAATTGGATGTTACATGACGCATTATATTTTTATTGAATAAGTGTTAAAAATTTGTCTCATTAATATTATTGTCTCCTTTATTTCTTTCGGTAAAATCTTATGCTCGCTTGGTTGGATATAACATTTAAAAATAATAAAGTATTTAGTTTGTATAAATATCCATTGTAGTTGGCGCAATTTAATGATATCGTTACTTTTGTAGAGATTAGATGTTACATGACTGAGACATGTATAATGTGATTTTTCAGTTTTTCCCAGGTGATTATTCATTTCACGATCACCGAGCTAACGAATTGTATACGTGAAAACAAAGAGTAGCAGATAGCGTCAATATTACAATGCGTTAAGCCCGTGTCAGACTACGGTTTGAGATTGAGATTAGATTGAAATTTAACCAATTCGAGTAAAAGTCACTAAACTTGAGATTAGTAAACTTTACTCTGATTGGTCAAATTTCAGTCCAATCTCCATTTCAATCCGTAGTCTGGCACGGGCTTTACGGTGTGGCGCGATTATAATGAAAGAGCGGATAATTTAAGCGGATAAACAATTAACAGAGACTGACTAGTAAACTGGGATGATCGAAGTTCCGCATGTCGAAGCGCGACGATCAGAACGTACGTCCCTGTCCTGCGTCGAATCGAATTTCTCCCATACACCTGTCTGCTTGCTAATTGAAGGAAAAAAAACGGGAGTGAAGACAAAGTCCGCAATGTCTCTGCGTTTGCAGTCAATGCGCCGAGTATCAAAGGGATACGAGCTCGGGGGGAAACGTAAATGACACACCCCCCGGAGACGGGCGCCACAATGTCGTGAAATATACGAGAGGTTGCGTCAATCAAATGATTGCATATTTATCCGCTCTTTCGCGGACATTCGGCGAGCCGAGGCAAGCCCCCGTCGCTAATTTACGGAAAACCCAACGGGTGTCCTCGTTGTCGAGTGCACCGTCGCTTATTTTAACATACGCGCGATGTAGCAAGAGAGGAACACAATTTTAACCACATCATGACCAAGTTAATTTTGTTGTTTCTAAACCTTTGCCCTAATGGTTTTTCAACAATAGAACAGCTAAATCGTTGAGTCCTTTTACATTTTGTATGTGAGCGCATTGAATAAAAAATTTTTCGCTACCGTAGCTAATTGTGGTTCGTTCCAAACATTTTGCTGCCATAACTATAAATTTCTAAACTACAACAGTTTGCTGTCGTACCTCCCTGTTTAAAATATCACCAGATTACTGTTTATTGCGATAAATATTACCACATGCCTCAGTGGGCGAATTGGTGAGACGTCCGCCTAGAGTGTAGGATCCAGGTTCAAACCCTGGCTGAGGTAATATTTTTCGCAAGGAATTTCTTTAATTACAATAGAATTTGTCAGCTGAGCGTCGTCAAGCAATTTTCTACATTGGTTAATCAGTTACTGGCGTTAAATAATTATTTTCATCAGCTTACATTAGATTACATGCAATTTCAATGTACATACGTACTCGTAAATAAGAGTCTTATTAATTTACACTACTTATTAATGTAAACTAATCTAATCTGATTATATTCTATCTATTATTTTAAACAGGGCTAATGCAATAGGCACAGTAACAAGATACTTAGCTATCACAACTAAATATTAGCTGTCCATATTTTACAACTGAAATTTAGTTGCCACGTGCAATTTTTAGCTGCGGCAGCTATTTTTTTCTTTTTGTTCGGGACTTGTGTCCCACGGACATGAAAGAGTTGGGCCCTGAACAGAATGGCAGTCTGTGCTCTTAAGATAATCTTTTATATTTTAAATTTCTTCAAATGACGCGTAATAAATCCAGCGGCACACGATACTATTTTGTCTACTGGATTATTTGCGAGATCCAATTAGGAGCCTTAAGTCATCTGGTCTAAAACTCCGCATCCGCATTGGTTCTCGCAAGAAATCCAGTAGGCAAAATAGTATCGTGTGTCGTTGGCTTAACTGTTTTGTGTTTTAAGAGCACAAGACGGCCATTTTGCTCAGGCCCTTGACGTAATTGAGATACTTGCGGTCTTCCTTCCAAGAAAAGGATTGCTAGGTAATTACTAACCAGTTCTCTCTTATTTAAATGACACAGAAAGATTAGTAATATCTATACGATGTTTTGTTTCAGTTCGATTAATGGAACTATGGAGTTTGGGATTAAAAGTTAAGGATTCAGCGAAACGTTTTAATTACATTCTATGTACGTATGTTATATGCACATATTTTAAATTGAATTTAAAACATGAATTGTTCGCCTCTCAAATTATTTTTCCGCCAATAAGCGGTTAAGAGTCAAAACAGTAGCCAGATACTTTCGACAAATTAAGTCTCCTAAAGTGAGGAAATAAATTAATTCTTCGATTAATTCCAGGCGAATTTTCAGTTTTCTTTTTGAGATCCGAGGGGAAAGAAAATCTAAATTCGTAAGGGAAACGCGCGCCGAGAGAGAATCAACCCCGGACTCGAGTCCGCGGCCGACATGGGATTTAAAGCACTGTGACTTTTGCTACACCCGATGTACATGTGCATGCACTTACGTCATGTTTAAAGCCTATCGATGATCGATGCCACCACCTGCGTCCCGATAACGTCCCTGATACGTTTTTTCCCGAGGATTTGCCCCCGGAAGTCGAAGAAAACTGCCTTGCCGAGCGATCGAGCTTATTTCCGCCTCGTGGAAACGAAGACGCGGAACGAGAAGAAGCGCGAAGATGCCGGGAAGAAGAAAATAAAGTAAAGGAAAGGGTAGAAAAAACACACCACACGTACCCCGCCGGGTGGAAGAGGGCCGTTGGGGAGAAGCGGGTGAAGCGCGAACGGAACGCGGGCGAAGAATGACGAAGAAAGAGCAAAAGCGTGGGCGGGAGAGAGTTAGCTGGTCGGACATCAGCGGGGATGAACGGGACAGAGGTACGTTGGCGAGAGGGGCAGGGGGGAGGAGGAGGACCAGGCGAGAGAGACAGAGTGAGAGAGTGAGAGAGGAGGGTGCAGACCGCGATTTAGCGGATTTTAAACGTAGCTGCACGTCTCGCGGAGGGGTGTGCGCGATTCTTAACGCGGCGGAACCGCCCCCCGGTGCCGCGCGGCCAATGGCGCGCTTTGCCGACGCGCGAGCCCGGGGGGGTTGCGAACGGAGAGAGCCGCGGACTAACCCCCTCGTTACGCGCTCTCACCCTCCCGGAGCGCGGTGACGACTCACCTCAGCAGTGCTCTCGCCATGTTCGCGCCGCGCGAGCGGCCCGTTCTGCCACGGCAGTGAGCGGATCCCCGCTGGAGTCGGCCGTTGGAGTCGCCAAGGAGGCTCGTCCTCTTCAACCCCGTGAGCGGTCAACCCCGCGGCAGCGGTCGAGGAGGCGCCGCGGGACCGAGCGCGCGCGGCCGCTCGCCATGGCGGGCCCGTATCTGTCGCCCCTCGGGCCCCAGGCCGATCTGCTTACCGAGTACATGTTCGGCCGTCGTCGTCAGGTCAGTGTACGTTTCCATTAATTCGACATTTTTCGGATCTGCGTCCAAGCCAATCGGCACCCGCGCCCGTCGTCGATTGGACTCAACGCGCGGCCCTTTGGTACCCGACTCGTTCCCGATCCCCTTTCCCGAGTATTCGACTATTCGTATTGTACGCGGAAAGAAAAACTAAAAATCGCATGTGGCAATTAAATTTCAGTTGTAAAATATGGACAGCTAATGTTTCTTCATTCAAAAGCAATAGTTGTGATAGCTAAGTATTTTGCTACTGTGCCTATTGTATTAGCCTTTAAAATAATAGATAGAATATAATCAGATTACACTAGTTTACATGCAATTTCAATGCAAATTAATAAGACTCTTATTTACGTACATTAAAATTGCATCTAATGTAATCTGATCATATTCTATCTGATATTTTAAACAGGAAGGTGCAACAGCAAACCGTTTGCTGCGGTTTAGAAATTTATAGTTATGGCAGCGAAATATTTTTAGCAAACCATGATTAGCTGCGGTAGCGAAAATTTGTTTTCAGTGTACGTTTGAGTAAGTTGATTTTTTGGAGTATTTCTCGACGTTAAATGTGTAGATAAAAACGCGTCAAATGAGAACACGAAAGAGCACTCTCGTAGGCACAGTTTGGGGACAGTCGCGTAAAATTAAATGCGCGGCGATGATTAATAAAATACACGGAAAAATACTTATACGTCATGAACGAAATCAGTATTTTATATTTTATAGCAATAAATAGATATTTATGCAGTTAATTTACTCTGAAAGTTTTGGATAAAATGCTTTATAATCAAAATATCGCATAATTGATTGAATAAGACTCGTAAGATTTGTTTTTCATCTTGTAGTCTTGTAGCGGAGTGTTTATTTAACGTAAACTTCTCTCGAGTGAATTGAATTAATAAAATAAATTGTATTTTTCTTGATTTTGTATACCTTTTATTTATTGATCAATGGAATAGCGATAGTTCGAAGATATTTCATGCGTAAACATTATATTAACTAATACATTGATCATAAGTAATAATAATTTTGAATGCGTGTCATTTTTCTTAATAGCTCTAATAACTTTAGATTCGAGAATATTGTAATGGTACACGGAGAGAACTTTCTTTTAAAATTTACCCTGAAAATCATGTGACCGTGGGACAACATGGCATTTCGAAGAACTTTACGAGAGTTTTTGGAAATTTTACCATGTATTCTCTTATTAAAATGTACACGGAGAGAATAGTCTCTTAAAATTTGTCCTAAAATACATGTGACCGTGGGACAACGTGGCATTTCGAAGAACTTTGAACTAATAATTATACTTATATACATTTTATCAATAAAATGTATGGTAAAATTTCAAAAAACTCTTATAAGATTTTTCGGAGTGCCATGTTGTCCCACATGATTTTCAGAATAAATTTTAAGAGAAAACTCTCTGTGTATAGTGTCATTACTCACGCAGTAGCATCATAATGTTGTATGGTATGTCATTTTTGTGCTACACAATGGCATAAAAATGGCCGCGCGATTAAGAGCTATGAAATAATTTAAGGGGGCATGTAAAGATTTCGGTGTTCGTGACATATGTAACAGTCAGATCCTTGGAACTTTTTCAAGCAGAGACGCAATCGGACCACGTTCACGCCGCAACAGCTTCAGGAATTGGAATCCCTTTTCCAGAAAACGCACTATCCCGACGTTTTTCTCCGAGAGGAAGTCGCACTTCGGATATCACTCTCAGAAGCACGTGTTCAGGTGAATCTTCCTTGCGAGCACTTTGTTCTTTTTCATTGATTTCACTTAGTTCTTCAACTAGCCTTCTTCTATTTTCCTTCAAGAAAAACTTCTGCTAATAATTGCACAAACTTGCCCCAACGTGTCAATTACGTCACCGAATTTCGTTACAGTTGTCCAATTAATAAATAAAGCACGCTGTCGAAAAGGTCTAACGATTGAAAATAAATTCGAAAGAGTGTAGATCATAAATAAAAGAAGAAATTTCTTTCAATTTTATTTTTCGACGAGTTTTTATCAGAAATATTTTCTTCGATTGGCTAAAAAACAAAATTCCTTTTGAAAAGAAGAATTTTATCGATAAATCGAAAATTTTAATTTAATCGATCTGAAGTTTATTTCAAATTCTGCTATCTTTAATTTCTCTTGGCTAGCTTGGCAACCCTTTTATCCGGAAAATTAACCGAGTAAAGCTCCGTACCGTAAAGCCCTTTGCCTTTACGGGAAAAGGCTAAGAAAATTTGCAACCTCAAAATCTGCGAAATATAGCTTTCCAACAGATTGCTTCGTTCCCTAAAATCGTTCACTAATTAAAGCCCAAATAAACTGTTTGCAGGAAATACGCTCGGTTTATTCTCATTCGCTCTTCGAGCCCGCCGAAATAACCCGCTAATGATCGTAATCGCGATGGATCTAATTTTCCATTAGTCGCGCTGTTATTTCATATATTACCATACAAACATCGGCAAAATGCGGTCGTTTACAAACAAGATATCAACAGAAGCAAATTAAAATACGGGGAACACGGAGTATTGAATCGATAAATTTTCTTCCAATTTAACGCGTAATTATGAAGGAAGATCAGAGATGAGCGAATTTTCATCAATATTCTTTTGTCTTTTTGTATACGGTACGTACAAATTAGCTTCCCATATGTCTAATTATTTATTTAAATTATTCATTAATGGGCAAACGAAAAATTACTGCATATCACACGCGTCATGCGTTCCGAATCTCGTATGCAGAAATACAGTCTTTCGTAGATCATAGATCAATTGTTTTCACTTAAACCCACAATCTTGTTGCGTGTAACGTAAATCTTAAAAAGCGATTGAATCGAATTTAAATTCGCGAGACATGACTGCGGTAAAAAGAAGGATTCAAGGCCAGTGCTCGTCTAATCAATCAGTGGCTGATACGACATGGGTTGTTGAATCAATTAATTTTCTTGCGATTTCAAGTGCAGAAGTCGGAGCAGCGGCTTTCAATCAGGGGTCAAGTCGGCGCAGATGTCTCGATTCATTAATGATATCAGGAATACGAACAAAACTGGTTGATCCGCGATCGTATCACAAAGGCCCCGCGTACATCTGGCTGCGATAGAGGCTATTACGCGCGGGCCATTGTGCGAAAACGATTAGGCGAACGCTGATGAAACGACCGGGCGAACAACGAATGCGAGAGCGGCCGCGAGAAACTCGGAAGTTCACCGGGAGTAAATTCGATTAATGCTTTCGAATCTCCTCACCCGCGAATCCCGTCAGAGCGTGTTAAAGGGTAAACTGTATACGGGGTAGTTAGTAATTGGCTGTGCGGCAATGGGTCCTCGATACGATGAGAATAAGTCGATGCGAAAGTAATTTTCCTAAAGGACGCGATATATAATTACTTTTTTCTCAAAGATGTCTTTAAATCTATTATATGTATACACGTACATTCGGAATTAAAGTCACGATTAAAGTTTGAATAGAATTAAGTAGTCCAAAATTGTTTGCTCTGGAGCAAACGCAGCTTCTCTGTCTTTTTATTATGCAAATTTGAAAACGTGACACTCTTTTTTGGTCTCCTCGCGAGAAAAAGAATAAATGAGCTCTTCTTAACAGACGGAATTCAAGGTGTTGAAACTTGCGAATGATTGTCGTCCAAATTAATCGAATGTCCGAATTTCAATATATCAAATTACGAATTACGAGAAACAATTCGCGCCCCTCCGTAACGTTCGCCATTTTCTCGCCCCGCGGGGCGGGGCGGGGACGAAATTACGGCAACGATCGGTCAGGTCAGCGGTTCCTCCGCAGGTGTGGTTTCAAAACAGACGGGCAAAGTGGAGAAAGCAAGCTCGGTTACAATTGCTGCAGGACGCGTGGAGAATGCGATGCTTGGGTTTAGGGAGCGCCACGCCGCTGCTGCTCGGCCGACCACCCCCCGGCGGCCTCGAGAGAACCGCCGCCGATGCGCCTTCCACTTCGCCGTCGTCCTCGTCGGCCCTCACGGGCTCGCCGAACGCGGCCGACAAGCTACCCGAGATCGGCGGTCCCGTGTCGGTCTGCAGAGATTTCAGAATCCTGCCTCCGCCGCCACCCGGGTAAGCTATCTCTTGTACGCAGAAAACATGTCCACTCTAAATCCCGCGAAGTTATAACGAAAAAAAGTGACTTTTCTTCCACTTTAAGTAAACGTGAAATTCAAGCGGAATTGCGTATACAGGACATTGTCCTAATAATAATGTCCTGTACAAATAGAAGGGGAAATTTAGCAAGGTTTTTATTTTTTCATACATGTATGTAGGCCGATAATTATTATATTCATTTGATACTGATTTTTGTAACAGCTATAGATATCGCGTATATCATAGCGATGAAATAATAAGGGAACATGCGATTTAAATTGCTAATTTGTCATCATGTATTGTAATTATCATATTGGTCACAAAAAACTTGTGGCCTTGAAATTATACTTGCAAATATCAGTCCAAACGCAAGATACAAAACGCGCGGGAACGAAGTATCCGTGCGAGAGAAAGATAAATGAAATAACGCGTATTTTGCCAGGCCGAATCGATGCACCTAATAAAAAAAAAAGGCTCGCTAAACTTTATCAATCAATATCACCGAATCACAGACAATCCCATTTGTCTGACGTAGCGGCGTTGCGCGTTTCGCAGATATTCGATACCTTGCGACAAATCGCCCGATAGGATCAAGTGCCGTTGCGGAACGCCGCCCAGGATCTGCGCGAGTCCGGTGGACCGCGGCGACGGCCTGGCGGCGAGGGAGCGGCCGCAGGAGGCAGAGATGGATCTCACCCTGAAGGGCCACCATCCAGCATCCGCCAGGCACTCGTTATTCCATCACTTGCCGAGCAACCACCAGCAGCAGGACATCGCGCAGAGCATGGATGAACCCTTGGACGTCACTCTCAACAGCGGCAAGAACAACTGAGGGCCGGATGAGCGAGGACGGTCCGCGATCGGCCAATCTTACTCGCGAAGACGTCCGACCCTTCGAAATCTCTTGACTCTTAAGTGTAATCACGGTGTAATCACGTTTGACACGCGGGGTAGCGCGTATCGTCGAACTCCGCATTATGTTCCGAAGATAAGATGAACGGGAAGAAAAGTGAAGATGTAGGGGGAGGAGGGCGGCACGCGTGCAAATACACATGTATCTTTTGCCTTTTTGAACCTTCGAATGTGTGTTTAAAATCTTTTTTTTTACTTCCGCCCTTTACCCGCGTTTAACATTTTTTTCCCCCATTCTTTCAGAATTTGGTGATATAATTTAATTTTAATAGCATGCGTATAAAAATTCACGCACTTACGAATAAAACGATCGGCCTGATCGCAATCCTTATCGCTACATCGCGAAAGGATATACTTGGTGTTGACGCATTACGTCGCGATGTCGATACCCAGTGAGAAATGATTCGTTGAAAAGATGTCGATTCGACATTGTTTCGACATCGATCGACGAGTCATTTCTCGCTGGGGACGACTTTCAACGTTATATATTTTATCGCGTTATATATGTATTACTGTATCATTGCATTATTACTTTATTGCTGTATATTATTGGGTGAGATAGAGATAGAGAGAGAGTGTGTGTGTGCGTGTGTATTTAATTTAATGGCGTACCGAAAATATTTAACGGACGTTGCTGTCTTCCCACGTTTCTGACGTTGGGATTCTGCATGACGAATCCGCGTTGCAAACTGCAATTGAAAATGAAATATTTTTAAAGCAATATTTTATAATAACAATTAGACGCTAAAATATCTCCATCGAGATATGCGATTTGAAAGTACGCAGAGATTCTCAAATAAGAGAGAGCAATAAATATGCGCTGTATTAATTTCTTTCAATTATCGAATTGATTGTTAAGTTTTATTTTGGCTTCAGTTTCCAATTTAGCTTGTTTCTTCGGCGATTACAGTGATGTGCTCTCTTGAACATTTCGAACGTTCTATTCGCAGATTTACATGTATCATAACACATACCCTCATTATTAAACAATAAATAAAAATTCCCAGTGAACACCACCTGACAGTTACACACAACATCAATGTTGTAATTTCCTACTCAGTAATGTAACAGTTATGTACAATATATGTGTTACATCACATTTATATTGTCGAGAGGGAAATTTTTAAATATCGATATTACGTAATTGTTGGCTGGTGTTTACTGGGTTCTTTCTCGCGGAGACAAGGATATAACGTTAGAAAGATCGTAGCTGCATAACAAGAATTACCTAATTTTATTCGCTGAGCGTCATCTTTGTATAAAGAGGTTGCTATTTATATTACTATCACACGCTGTAGAAAAATTAGTGATTAATATTTCTGATATCAAACGAGAAGTGAAAGGGGACCGAAAGAGCTATGAGCGAGAAAAGTTTTTACGAGCGGTAAAAAAAAACAAAAGTCGAGATATCCGCCAAAATCAAACATCGATTTGTAATTTGTCGTTATTCCCCGCGTGCACCGTTGTTTGTAAAAAATTTTCGACGGAGGCCAGCAAGACGACGGAAATCGCGTTTCTGTACAATAAACTTAGTGATTTCGATGCGTTTTCGACGATGATGGAGAGACCAAGTCTCTCCGTTAAATCGTCGGGAGACACGCATGATTCTTTTCTTTAGATCTACGACGTGAAATGCGCGTCACATGCATAATTTAACAGTCGAGTGCACAAATGGTGTCCGGCGCGTTTCTCTGTAATACGTAAGAAGCGTGTCTTCTCGCTTACGTAACGGATTGGGTATGGTTTAACGACTGCTTGTTCGTAGGGGAGAATCGTCGAGTCGTATCCCGCACACATAACGGGTACATTGGGTCGGTATCAACGTACCCGACAGCACGATTATTGATCACCATTTACAAGTCGGTTAGACTTAAAATGCATTCGCGTGTCGTACTTTGCGCTTGCATGCACGACATGATGACCGAGGATAGAATGTACTACTTAAAAGGTTCTTTCAGTTGTTAGAACTTTTGATAAGGAACGTAAAGTATTGACGCTGTACATAGAACCAGCATACAATTAATTTATATATATGTATAAATAATATACATATATATTATATATATATAAATATCTTATAAATCTAGCGCGATACAATAATTTAGGATACATTGTTTTAGAAATAAATATTAACCGCTAATTATGTTTTCTACTTGTTCAATATCTGTGTAAGTCTCTTTCTTGTTCGAAAGCTCGTGACAATGACTTTTATTCAATATATAATGTTGCAAATTTCCAAATTTATCGAAATTATTACATTTCTAGTAACGCCCAGTTGAAATTAATCAATACGTAAATATCTTGACGATTAGGCTTCAAATAAAACGTATGAAATATAAGAGTCGAAATTAAATTAAAAAATACTTCTTTATAATTCTATTTGTACTATTTTTTCTGAAAGGAGCTACTCATTTAAATAGGCTTGTCAAACTTGGTGTAATATCATCTTGTATGTAACTTTGTTAATTTTTGAAATTTAAATTTTTAAGATAAAAATACTAACAGTTGATAGAAATGAATTGGTAAACAAATTTCTAATTTCCGACATTAGGAAATTTTTTTATAAACGAAATACCCCGTTACAAATAATTTAAAATTAATTTTACCGATTTATTAGAAGTTAGTGAAAAGATAGTTTACTAGACATTCATAGTCGATGGCATTTTTTTCTATAATCTTTTTTTATCAGAATTATATATAATTCTCTTACTGTTCACAGAACTAGTTTTAATGAAATAACAGGTTGCTAATAATTTCTCGTAGTATGAAAGGGACATGATAAATAACCAGACCTTCATAAAATAATTATATATTTAATTCAGAATGTTGTTACTTCTTCTCAGCTTTTTTCGCATCCTTGCTTGCTGCAGCGACAGTTTTAACCTTCTTGGTCTTCTTTTTTAATCTGAAAAACGCGTCCGTTCGCAACTTATTTCTTATCTGCCTTGCTTTACGCAGCTTGAAGCGGTCAAAGTCGCTGAGTTCCGTACGCTGAAAAAAGGAAACAGATATTTTCGTGAATAAATCATTCCAAAGTACTTTGTTTCTAAAGTCACGAATTATATCGTCAGAGTGAGTTAGCGTCATCAATAAAGTCAGACGGCATTTCCTATCATAACTTCTGGTTCATCATGTATTCAAACATCTTTTTTTAAAATATTTTTCGATACACCTTTTTTCTTTTAAAGATATATAAAAATGCATCAGCACTATTTGTTACAAATGAAATAAATACAGTATTTATTTAACATAAATAGTGACTATCGACTATTAATATAATAAATAATTATCAAATTTGTTTATACCTTTTTCTTCGCTTCAACTTTCCTCGCCCACATCGTCTGCTTCCACAGCTCGTTGATATTGGCCGTGTCCCATGCTTTACGTACGACACGAGTGGATCCCGAGAATGGGAAACGTAAACGAAACTTTGTCAGATGGAGCTCGTTGAGTCTCATCTCACAGCGAGGTACACCTGATGATGGACCATCGGCTAGAACCTGAAACGAATATTAATTATAAGATCAGAAGAACTTAACACAGATGGTTGGTTTTGGCGGAAGTCACAATTGTGTCGTCAGAAAGAAATTAGCATCACCAAAGTCAGTCGGCTCTATCCTATCGTACTGTTGTTTCATCATTTATCTTTTTACAAAAATGTTAATTAAACAAAACAAACATATCATACTTTAACTTAAATATGTTTTGCTTAAATTAATATCCCATATTTAACATTCTCAATGTAAAAATTACAAATACTGTTTATAACATATAATAGAATAGCCAGAGAGTAAAACCAGTTACAAAACACTTGCTGTGTGACAAGAAGTGACTATAATGTTATTGCTGCTAACAAATCAATCACTGTGTCAGGTGTTAAAAGCTATTTGGCACTACGTAACTTTATAATTTATTCGTATCAGAAAAATTTAAAAGTTAAACAAAATGTTAATAGAGAGAAATATTCTTCCTACCCGGTTCTGGTCGATGATGTCCACGATGGTAACCAGTTTGCCGCGATAAGGCCCATCGCTCACGTAGGCCACGCGCCCGGACTGCACGAACCTCTGGAACGGCTGTTAAGAAAAGGACGAAATATTACTGCTAAATTTCACAATCCATAATCAGTCTATCTTTAATATCTATTTCTATCAATGTGGATTAGTTTTTAATCTTGATTGAACTATCTCTTCCTACAAAAAGTAAAAAAGGATAAAAAGTAAGTTAAGCGTCGTCTACAATGCGTGGAGTGCAATACTCCACGCGTTGTAGACGAGACATTAAACTGAGATTAAAATTAATCCCGCATTGGTAGGGGAGTGGACATTAAGGAAAATCAATGTGAAATAAGAATTTGTTATCGCGCTCAACGGACTCGATACGCGTTTTCTTTGTGCTCCGCGGGTGTAATTTACAGTTTATCGCGCGAATAAATGACGATAATATATAGCGTCGCGTCAACGAAAACGCGAGATGCGTCTAGAATTCTGCGAGAGGCTCCACGGCAGTGCACCATGTGGCTGACAAACGCTCGCCCGGTGAGGAGGTTAGGTCTCGCGCGAAAATTTACAACACGAGGCGACTGCGTTCACACGAGTCGCGAGCATAATCGCGCGAGAAAAGCAGGATCCGCGAGAAATCCAATCGATCGCCGTTTATCCGTCCTTTCGTGCCCATTTCCTCGATAAGCTCACAAAAGCTATTCACTTACCATGACTTCCCGGAAGAGAAAGAACTCAAGGAACCATGCTATAAAAGACCAGATCAACCAAGATGTCGCTGCCGAGACAGCGAGAGAGCGAGAGAGCGAGAGAGGGAGAAAGAGAGATATATCCTTAGGTCATAGGGATTTTCTTCTCGCAATAATCTTAGTCCCAGCCATAGACATAATATATCTAGACCGAACATTGAGCATTATTATTGAATTTATGGCTTCTGGCTCCAACTGAAACCAATACGGCCGGGAACGTTGAGCGGTGGTTTCACGTAGAAAAAGACAAACTCTGTTTTGTGCTATTTCGTTCTCTCTCGTTTGTATGCGAATGGCATTTATTCCCCTCACTCTCACCTGTGATTGGTTAATTTCTTACGGCTTAAGGCTTACAGCTTACTGAAAGCAAGGTTGTAGACCACCACTAAAAAGACCGAATTCGTGGACACTTGACCACAATTGAACGTATTTTTAAATAACTCCTATATGCAATCGTTTGTATTTCGTATGAAGACATGTGAAGTGTGATTAAAAAGATTGATCAGTGATCCCGATAATTTTAATTAAAATTATCAGAATCACTCACAAACCTTTTTAATCACATTTCATAACTCTTCATATAAAATACAAACGATTCCATTTAACAACTTTATTTAATTTATTCTTTATACTTTTATAATTTATACTTTAAATAAAAATATCAAATTTCAAGTAAATCTATGTATTATACTGAGTAAATTAATTTAAATCATTACATTTTCTACATTTAAATAAAGATTTTATAAGATATAGAAAACTATTTATTAAATGAGAGAATTGTTTTTGTTAAATAAGAAGTCAAATTTTCTTCGCTGTGAAAATTACATCTTATTAAACATTTTATCCTTTTTAAAAAAAGAGATGTTACCAGCGCGAATGTCGTTAATATCGAATAAAGGCCTCTTTTCCGCGATGTCGATTGGTTTTTTTGAAGCGCGATGTGCTTCGCTTCTCTTTTAGATTCGTAGTAAATTTGCAATTTAGAAATACACATTTGTATACACCAACTATTAAAGTAAAATCTTTAATCTTAGTAATTAGAATTTAAGTAACAACGATTTTTGTTCCTATACATTTTCTCAAGCGAACAGAATTAATCGTTAATTTAATCAATACCAATAAGTCCGCAGAACAATACATAAAACATAGTAACAATTACGGAACAAAGTAATGTAAAATATTAGGTACACAATTTTCATTTTCGTAGGCGGGACAACGAACTCTCAACGTTCGTAGTTGTTTTTCTCTCGGTGCGGTGACGTACGATGTTTTTGCGTGCCATTGTGTAGGCAAACGTCGAAGGTCGCCGCGCATATCACTCGCTCGCCGAACGTCGAGCCGGCAGGCAGCAGCGAGAGTCGCTCTGTGCGTGTTATTAACTTATTACTTTTGCGTTATCGGTTTTCAAGACTCGATAGTGTGTTGTGTTTCAAAATATTATCGGATTTGTTGCGTATCTTCTTAAATCATCAATACAGATTGTACTGAAGTGCTAACGGACACGTCACACAGGATTGTTTTACGTATATAATCGGTATATATTGCATTACATTGGCGGCTTTTCGCGCTTGTACATACACCGCCACGAAAAATCCCGCGGCCGGCGCGGCGCGCCCGAAGCCGGCCGAGCGCGGCCGATCATAGCCGAGCGCGCCGAGCTACGTGACGAAGCGCGGTGAGCGAATCGCTCCGTAGTTTTCGTATCCGTCGTCGAGCAGAGGTGAGTCCCGAGTACGGACGAATAATCGAGGCGCTTCTCGTGACTACGGGCGATCGTTAAGGGGCAGGCGCGACGCGTAGAAGCCGTTGGTTCCTCCTCCGTTGGATCCTCCGTTTGACCAACTAGCCGCGATCGGAAGATCCGCCGTTCGAAACTCAACAATCATGGCCGTGCGTACGCCGCGCCGCGGACACGGCTTGCGCGCATTTGAACAGTGGTCGGTCGGGTCGAGCGAGTTAACACGCGTCTACTCGACGTCTCGGTTAACGCGACGAGGAACTTTCCGCGCGAGTGTTCTCCGCTCGCGATCTCGACGAAGGTGCGGCGCGCCGCGTCGCAGAAATTGCTGCTCGCTTGTGTCGTTCGCGTCGAAGGGACGAGAGTGCACGGGGTGAGTTTACTTCCGAGCCGCGCACGGCGAGTATAACGACACGATTTACGTTTCAATTACGTTTCACGACTCGCGTGTCCGCGATGACACACGGTCGACGCGGTACAACAGACCGATATTCGCCGCCAACGGAACTGTGCTGGCAATTCACGAGTTATTGTGGAAGATTTGGCGGGAAGGAGGGCGAGACTTCGGCAGAGAATTCGCTCCGCGGGAATGCCGGGAGTCGAGGACTTGATTGCGCCGTACGAGCGTCTTCTCGCGACATTCGATGTGAAAAGGTCAGTGAAGCGAGTCGCTCAGTCGCGCCTGTTCGCTCGCTCGTGCGATCCGAGTCCGGCTAATTGTTCGTGCGTCGAAAAGTGAACGTTGCGACGCGACGCAAAAGTTGTCGCTCGCTCGCGTCGAAGTGAAGAGAGTCGACGGGGACAGTTAACTGCCGAGCCGGGCGAGTTATTTCTGGCTGGGTACGAGCATCTTCTCGCGACATTCGGCGTGAAATGGTCAGTGAAACGGGTCGCTCATTCGCGTCTGTTCGCTCGCTCGTTCGATCCGCGTCCGGCTAATTGTGCGTGTGTCGAAAAGTAAACGTCGCGGCGTGTTGCGTTCCTTCTCAACTACGTAAAGCCTCGTCTACATAGAAGTCGCAGAGTCGTAGTCGTAAGAATAATCGACTGCGGGTCAATTTCGTCAGACACATAAGAATTGACCAATCATAGTCGACTATTCTTACGACTGCGACTTTACGACTTCTGTGTAGACAAGGCTTAAGTGCGCGTAACGAAAGAACGTTACCGGGAGTGTGTCGATCGTCCTGTGGTGTTAAGTGCGCGTAATCATAATTCTTTCCCGTTGTCAGTGCGCGAGTGAGTAAAGCTCCATTTTCAAAGTGTAAAATCGCGCGAACGACCTTTGTGTTTTCGCGAGTGTGCAAGAAGACAACCTGAGTGGAGGAGGAGGCCTGGGGAAGGCATCAGGCACCGGCGGAGCAACTTTAGGGTAAATATTTTTTATTTCATATAAAATTAATCTTCCGTTTATTGATTTTCAATCATTTAAAAATTATTTTCTTTAAGATTGGTTTTCTTGAATACTCTGTTTTAATGTGAATTTTATAATTTTGTGTTACAGAATCAACGAAGTTAAACTCCGCTGCTGCGCATCGGGTCGGTGAGTAAAAAACTTTTTTATTACGGCAACGAATATACACACTGTAAAAAAAGTTACATGTAAAATTACAAATATTATAGTGAGTAATGTTGGGACCATCTATTAAAGGTGTATGTTTACATACGTCAGTAAATTTACTTCTTGTAAGTAAAATTATTACTTTATATAATAAGTAAATTGCTTGCTTTTGATTGTGTAAATTTGACATTTTTTGATAATTTTTCATCATGTACAAAAACAAGTATTTACACAACAAAGAGTAAAACATTTTTTTGGTAAAAGTATATACATATGTATATTTATATATTTCCGTTATTAATAGAGTATAATCGCTACACTTATTATGTATGTAATTTTACATACTTTTTTTACAGTGCATCTCGTAGATTATAGATTGTAGATTGTATATTATTTTGTATATTCGTTAGCCTTAAAATGGATTTTTGCTTTAAAATGGATTTTTGCCTTAAAATGGATAGGTTTTAAATGCTAACGGCAAGTAAATTTTTTATTTAATATATTGAAACTCCGTAGAGGAGTGTAAGCGATTTTCAATGTGGAAAGTTAGCTGCGCCGTTGCAGAAAAAAGATTTAATCCTTGGTTTTCTTGTCTCGGATCCCCGGAAGCAACGATTTCAGCACGAGGGCGCGACGTCGATTCGCGACATTAACTAAAAAAAAGAGAAGATTTTATATATATCCTTCTCAATAAATATTCTCCCATTAACACTAATAATGGAAGAATTATTTATATTTCAATACAAATGAAAATATACGAGATTCAATGATATAAGAAACCATCGTCGTTAACTCCCTGCTGAAATGACCGCTATCGGAGGAAATCCGGAAGATCTGGGATTCATTCTTTTCTACAGCGGGGCCTCTAAAGTTCAACGAGTTCAACGTAAAGTTTCTTTCACATTCATTTAATTTCATAGAGCTCTATAAATCAGGGTATGTCAAGCTCACTTTTCCATGTTGAAAATCATTGAATTACATCACAGAACTTAAACGAAATATGGCGAATATTAATGATGTATTCGCCGAGCTAATCTTTTGTAGCCTATTCATTTTCATTAACGAATTGATGTATTGTATAAAGTAAAATAATATGATGTGAGATTCTAATATATTTTGTCCAGAACACTGAAATTTTAACTTATTTTTATACAGGGTGAGTTATAACATTTGTCCACGAGCTCGTGAGAAGGTAGAACGGATCGGTGATGAACAGAAAAGTCCTGAAACATTTTGCAATTTTCGCAATAGTTAACGAGAAAAAAATTATCGAAAATCGTCGTCTTTGCCCTGCCCACTGTCCAATTCGAGCGCGTAGCGAGATGTGACCGCACGGCGATCGATATTGCCAGGCGAGGGATGGGGACGCGAGACGCGGGAGCGGCGACGTAAACAACCGCCGGCAACTGCGCGCTGTCC